CTACTATACGTAACCGTACGTACCTACCTACCTACGTACTACGTAAGTAAAAGGAAAGGTAAGTAAGTAACTACTCTACTACGTCGTTGTAGTATATACTACTACTATAGTAGTTACTCTCTCTCTCTCTCTCTCTCTCTCTCTCTCTCTCTCTCTCTCCAACCAAAAATAATAATATATTTATCTTATCTTTCATTTCGTCAGATCGAACCTCCTGTGAATACCGTCAAGATCAAAGTTGATGGAATTTTTGACTCCCGAAAATCGTTCATTTCGTTTTGAAACCTTGTTGGATTCAGACTTCTGTGAATACCATCAAGCTCCAATTTGAGAGCTTTATTTAGTGACCAGACCTTGGAGATTGCGATTCCAATTTGAGATACAGGCAGGGGTCAGTGACCATTCAGGCCAGACCGTCAACCCCTTCGAGATTCGAGATTGCCGGCCGACGCCCGTCGTGGGCAGTTATGCAACAACTTGGGACTCCTTCCCATCTCATTCATGAGGGAGGGAGGGAGAATCAAATGATTGAACTTGGGACACCTTCCCATCTCATTCATGAGGGAGGGAGAATCAAATGATTGTAATATATGGAAGTGTAGACGTAATTTTATAAAATCATTCAATCTCATATTGCATGTAATATGTGGAAGTGTAGACGTAATTTCATATAATCATTCAGTCTGAGTGCTACAAGAAAAACATAGGATGTAGAATTTTGGGATAGTCATAAAGAACCGCCTCCATAAAAGCTCCAAAATGTTTTTTGAAGAAATTTTGCATCTTACATTTACTGTGGTTTTCTTTTCTCACTCTAACACGACCAAGAATATAGCAAAAAGGTTTGCTAGGGAAGGTGTGGATTGTTTCTTGAAGAATTTTACTTGGCTTGGATTGTTTTTGGCATCTGCTCTAAGCTCACTTTTTGGAAATGAGTTGTACAATGTATATAATACATAGGCCAGTGATTTAAAAATCGGTGACCCAATCCAGGATCGGGCGATCCGAATCAAGAATAGCTATGGTTGCCCCCAATCCGGTAACAAATCGAGGATTTGGTAGATTCAGAATAGTACTCACTGATTTTTTTGCAGAACTGCCGATTCCGACGATTCTTCACCATGTCCAACCGATTCTTTACCAACTGTGAAAAAAAATAGATGAGAAGTTTTTTCTTGAATTATTTTTTAAAAAATTTGGGAAAAAAATTATCGATTCTTCCGATCTGATTTACCAATTCCCCCGATCCAACACGAGTATATGTGCAACTAATCCATTTTTTTAAACACTGATATAAACATACTTGATAGAAGGAAGAAGTGTCTTCAAACCTGAATTGCGAGGTCGGATCAGCTACCACTAGATCGATCCAAATCATCAATTCAGGCTGGATTATAATGATTTTTCGATGCAAGATTCAATCTCAAAATAATAATAATTCCACTTTTGAAAAAAAAAATCATTGTCATCGTCAAAACCTTTTTCCAACTAAATGAAATCGACTACACAAATCTTGATCTGTCATTCTGCTCTATTAAAAATCATACCCACAGTGAGGTCATAAAGTCCCTTATCTTTTCTCACTAATTCCGAGATCATGGGTGAGAACATAATCATCCTTATCAGATATCACCTAGTTCCCTAACGGTTCTCCAATAGAACTAGGTGAGTAACTAAGTATCAAAATCAGACCAGTTCCCGAGTCCGATTAGGAACCAGGTTGGTCCTGCTAAATCTTGATCTTGGAATGAAGAAAACCAAACCATCAACCAAAACCAAGTACCATTCCTTGTTCATTCATTTGGTTTGAAACACCAGTTGCTCCTCACCTCTTGAAAGCTTTATTAATTTGTGTAATTGGTACGATTACCAATGGGTTCTATGTTTTTTCAGGAAATACATGGAGGGCTGCAAGTTTCACCAATACAGAATCTGGTTATAATTAACAAGCCCCATGATGATCTAAGTCAATGAATAGAAAATTAAAAAATAAATTAATTAATTAAAACAATTACAATAACATAAATGGGTGCTTTAGGATTCTAACAATGTTGTCTTTTTCAGTTTGGTAAAAAAAATGAAGCAATTTGATGCTTCAACCAATTCAGGCAAAGACCTCGGACTTTTTTAAAAAAATTGAATGCAATAATTAAAAATAATGATAAATATTTAAAATTTCAAAAAAAAAAAAATTTACTTTTATATAGATATTTCTTTGCTTCGGCCGAATCGCCCCCAAGCATACACGAATCTGACCGAAACATCTTGAAGTGGCACCCAAATCTGACCTAAGCGGCAGCACTAACCTTCGCTTCGATCTAAGCCTAAAATCCAAAGGCTTGCCTCTTTAGCCGATGCAAAGCGAATTGACAACACTGATTCTAACAAGTAATCAGAAGATCATAGCAGGCATTTGCCTAAACCCAGGTGAGCTCAATATTTTGATAAATGCAAAATAAGCCAAGAAGAGAAAATTAAACTCAAAACTCCACGAGACAGAAGATAACGGTTCTTTACTTCGCAATTCTTATGTGTCTAGTAACCTGGAGGAAAGAGAACATCAATACTTGTACATGTCCTCTTATGAGGCAGAACAGATTGCCAACCCTGCACAAGCAAGCACTATTTCTTACAAAAATCATTTCAAAAACACAGATTCAACCCCCACTCCCAATGGAACCAAAGCCCATTTCCCCACTGAAAAAAAGGCAATTCTCAGATACCACTTTTCCTGTACAGGGAATCAACATATTTCAAAGGAAATGACCAGAGAGCCTTTGCTCACTCTGCATTGATACCAAATATGCGAACTTTATGCATGTTAGGAAATTTTGCAATGACCAGCACAAAGACAGCAATTGTGTTGAGAAGAAGCCAAGGGTTCCGGTAATCTGTCGTATGAGAAGCAATCAAGTACCTGTGATTCACAGTAAATCAAAGCCATGTAATTTAGACAAAAAAGGATTACTTTTCAGATAAATTTACACTCACGTCCCCTTAGAGTACCATTATTATAAAAATCCACCAAAATTTTGTTTTTTCTTACGTTAATACCACTTTTTCCCTTATTTTATTTTTCCCAAAATTCAAGCCACTCTATACCTCCAAGGTGCAAAGTGAGAAGATAATTCCAAAGGCACATTTTATAAGGGGAAAAAAAGAAAAAGAAAACAGAGGTGACTTTGGATCTTCAAAGTCCATGTCGAGCCTTGTCAAAATGAGGACCTTGAAGATACAAAATCATTTTGATAAACTTGAATTCGGACATGAAGGTCCGAAGTCACAATTAAATAAAAATAAAAATAAAAACAAAAAACCTTAACTTCTAACGGTCCAAAATCAATCCAAAAAAAAAATTTGACTTTGGATCTTTACGGTCTGAGGTCAATTAAAAGAACTCGAGGGTCCCAAGTCATAGTAAAAGAATTGTTCAGCACTGAGTCATTTGAGACCTTTGAGGTCTAGAGTGTTGGCATTTGGGGAGAACTTAAATAAATAAATAAATAAAAAGGGAAAGAAAGAGAGAGATAGAGAGAGATAGAGAGAGAGATAGAGAGAGAGATTCATCATCCAAGCCGTAACCCTATTTAGAATAAAAAAAACTGGGAAGGAGTCCTATAATAATGGATCTTTAGAAGGATATGGGCCAGAATTTCCCTTTTTCTTAAACATTGCTTTTTTGCTTAATTTTGAACATTGCTTATAAAGGGGTAATGTTCGATTTGCTGATTCTTGAAGTGGACTTGTTCATTTCTAGAAACTGGAAATTTGGGTTTTGATTGTAGCACACGAGCTATTAAGTCATGCCCACCACATAATTAACTTTTCATCCAGCTCTTACATTTTTCCAATCTCTTTTCTGCAATTTGATTTGTCCTTTTATATTTTGCACTATTTTGGTTTTGATCCGTAATTTTTGCTTCTCTTTTATAAGTATCCTTCGCTCCTCACACAATTTTATAACACATTCCACAGGCATATAAGCAATTAATTACTCTTACAGAAGGCTCACTTTGAGAAGTCCCAATTCAGGGTTTCTTATCATTATTAAGGAAAAAAAATCAGGGTACAAAATAACTTCAACCCATAGCGAAGTTTGGAGCTCTCATTTTTCAGACCCTGAGGGAGTGGCTTCGGCCCTAAACCCCATAACAATAGTGGAATACCCAAATTACTATCCACTAATACAGAATCAAATAACTGAGACAACAAACATCCACACTTCTATAGGATGACCAGCATACAGTGATATTGTGGAATGTGAATAACATACTATGAATATTGGTTGTCTTTTTTGCCTTTTTTTTCTTTTATTTTCCAGCTAAGCATATCAATTGTTAATTACAGGGGGCTGGGTTGTTGTTGTAGCACCCACAAACCTAGTAACCATGTTGTGGTTTCCAATCCCACTAACACCACCCACTGACACCTACGTAATCTATTTGAAAAACGGGTAGGGGCTTGTCTTCCCCACTGAATTACCCCCAAAAAAAAAAAATCAAGCACAATGATTTTAAACCAGACAAGAAAAAAAATACAGTGAAACGAACAAAAACAAGTCTTGAAATCTCTAGTACATTAAGGAGGTGGGGATTTGTATCTGAGTATGCATGCAATGAATGGAATATGAGACGATAAAAGTTCCAATGCATAAAGCAGTTTTGAGTGTCCTGAGGCAAGGTCGAAGCCACTCAATGCAAGGGAGATGTAAATCTTAAGGACAAGAACCAAATTAAAAAGGTCCACAATAAGGTTGCTAAACAAGTTGGGTCAACCAGGCATCTCGATTCGGGTCTCAGTCGGGACCTAAAAGTTGACCTGGCTGGTTGTGTCCAGGTCCAACACACCTGGACCTGACCAGGTCCAGCCCGGACATATACAGGTCGGATCCAAGTCTAGGTCAAGGTCAAACGGACCCACAGACATATATTATATATAAAATTTATGTTATAATAATTTGGATATGACCGCTGATCTGGGGAGGGGGTCTGGATCCAGGTCCGACAAACCTGGAACTGGCAGGGTATGGGCCTAGATCTGGGTGGGGAGACTTCTCCATTATAGCTCTTTCTTACATTGACTTCTTATGGACTTCACTTCCATTCATAAGTCTCATCAAATAGTCAAAACGATCAGGACATCCTGTCATTTGAGGTTTGATATTGAATTTACACTAATGAAAGGACCCTACTCTCCCCCATTCTTTAGCCCTCCTTACTGGCCATTAGAGCCTCTAATGTCTCATAAATATTATCCTTCAGTCATGCCACCAGCTCACTCCCCAAACAACAACACCATCTACAAACGATGCCTCTTTTGCAACCACATAATCCACACCAAGAGGTCTACCGACTTAAAGGGCCCTGCTAGCTGATGAGCTAAAGAAATGCAATACCAAGGATTTAATGCAATTTCATAACCAAAGGATTATTGGTATCAATAGAGGGGTTGAGGTAGAGTAAAAACACTTCAAAAAACAAATAACGGTCTAGGCAAGAAATCTTAAAAGGAGAAAGCAACACTTACAACAAGAAGTTCATACAGATATATCCAGTTACTAAACGGGATAAAATCCCTCGGGGCTTAATGCAGTAGGCGATGACCCCCTAGCCAGTTCTTTGAAGCATTCGCTTCCCCATATATTTTAAACCCAGGAAAACTGAAATAGTTAATATGTTTGGCGACTTCATAAAAGTCGAATAGAAGCTAAAGGAAATATTTCTGGCTCAAGGATATTTTACCACTACAGCTTCAAACTAAATACAGGAACTTTTACCACAATATAAAAAGTCACATTTTAAAACATCTCAGTCATAGTACGTGAAACTTCCTGTCATATGCATCTTTTCTCAACTATAAAAACTCAAGGGTCCCAAGGGGATAAGTTGGAGAAAGGAACTCTCCTTGGCACAAACTAATAACTAGTTGAAATACATGACCTCAAACTCAGGCGTCATCATTATATCATATAAGAATCCTTATAATAGCAAAGCATTTATAAACCAATAAATGTCATCGGATTCTGGCAAAAATAGCTCCTTGTAGCTCAGACAAAAATTTATTCGTCAAATGAATGCAACAGAACCATTTGACATGAGCAAACATCAATTCATATTTATAAAACCACACCTACTTACGTTGGTTGGATTTCCTTTCTAAGTCCTCTACCCGGTAACATTTCCCAACCAAAAGTAATTTGCCTTTCCAATTAGTCAACTTAAGTTTGCTCCAAATAACCAACCTTAACACAACCATTTTCAATAAAACTCTAAATAAATGCTACATGAGTGTGTGAGCACTTCTACATGCTGAGTTCTTTTGTCGCCCTAGTTTATCCAACAAATCATGTTTCCTAACACATGTGAGGTTCCAATCCAATTCGATATATGTAACTTGTACACAGGTAATGCTTGAAAAATGTGTGTGGTGCATCATCATTTTTTGGGAATTGGTAAGCTGTTTTACATTAACATGGTTTCTTTTCTTATAATGAAAAGATGGCAATTCAGAAATGGAAAATGTAGTAATAGTCTTTTCATTGTTTATTGTTTTAAATTAGTTGCTGAACTTCCTTTCTCATTTTCTATCTCATTTTTTAATTACTGTACAAGAAACTCATGCTGAATTTCCCTAACTCATTTAAGATTATATTCTTCACGCCATAAAAAGCAAATGCCTAGGCCAACTATAAGCTTTTAAAAGATTTGCACAGAAAACCAACAACATAGAGAGGAACTTGGATAAGTAATTATATATTTCAAATGCATGAACAATAAGACATGTAAACAAAACCTTTTGATAATTTTCTCTTAGCGAAATCATAAGCATATTTAGCAGATAAGGATTGTTAAACTCACAACACCACCGGAACCACCATCAGAAATTTCCTATTCCGAGTAAGCTGCTTCCCATTGTCCATCTGCTCCCACCAAGTCAAAGCATTATAAATACCCTGATCTTCTGCAAAAGGAGTTCCCTTCTGCCAGTGGAAACAGCGGTATGTAACCTGAAAAATACTATAAATCTCATGAAATTGTAGAAAGCTATTAAAATAATTCAACTACTAGAATAATGACTTATCCAGAGTTTCTTCAAATTTCTACGGTAAAAATAGTAAATAATCATTACAGAAATAAGCAGCTTACACATTTTAAAAAGATTTCACGTCCTCCAAGATAATGAACCACACAAGAACAACATTAGGAAAAAAAAAATCTTCTGTATGACATTGTAATTAAAAGATATGTTCCAATGTTGATATTACATCATAGACGCTGAACACCCACATCACTGATCATGATAAGGAACATGGTCATACATATGTCGGGAAGGCCTCAACCAATCAAGTTAATCTACAAACACCTATAGACATCTCTTGCGCTTGCCCAATCCAACTAGTAGTTAAACAAATTCCATCAACCAAATGCACATCCCTCATAGTATGGTGCTGAGAGTGAAAGCTAAAACTATTTGTGCACTATTATAAGCTTAGTATTGACTGCAAAATATGTTCCACAAGCATGCTACTTATTCTATATGGACTGCAAAAAGCGGAGTATTCAACTGATCATATGTTCCACAAACATAGTTCTAGTATCAAGTCAAAACTCCATGTAAGATGTCCATAGATCACATTATTTAATCCAATACAGTTCCACAATCAAACAAAAAAAATAAAATAAAAAAAGAGGTAAAAGGAACCAACAAAGTAAGAGAATACATAAAATAAATAGGGGTTAACTCTAAGCAATCAACAAAAGTGATCTGATTGGAATGGAATGAAGAATTCAACAATGTCAGGAAATTCATAAGAGAACCTTTTTTCCTTTGGCAGAGGAAAGAAAGTGCTTTAAAGATTCTGCCTATTTAGGAGATTCAAGGTTTTCAATTGAAATGTTGAACAAATATGGGAATAAAAGAAAACCAAGGAAATGTTTGGGTTTGTAAAATAAATTAATTTTTTATGAGGTACTTCAATTCTAGTTACTTAAATATTCACTAGAATGATTCATCTACCATTACAACTAAAAGAATGCACCATGCACAATTCTGCATTCACATTCGTGAACCACGGCAGTCACTAAATCAACCTAACAAGAAAGAAAATAGAAAATCAACCAATTTTTCTGTATGCTTTTACCAATTAAAAAGATAAAAACTTGCAGCAATACTTAAAATTCATTATTATGCTTTATGTGGGTCGTGGGTCCCTAGTTGCTGAACTTTTCCAACAACATGCATGAAAGTTGAGCAACTTCAATTTTGGAGAAATTGGATTATTAGATATTGGCAGCAATAAGCCTTGTCCCCATTGAACCACTCCATTTTTTGAAGGGGCGGCACGGGATAAAGTCATGACCCTGCACAAATTGCCTATAACACGAAAGAGAAAAAAATGAATGAAAGACTAACAAACAAGCCTATCATCCATCACGTAGCACTCATCCAAATGGGTGAAAAACAGGGTAAAAGGTTCTTTCAACCCTTTGTTTCGGCTTAAAGGCCAGAGTCTAATCATCCAGGCCCCTTTGGCAATAAAACTAAAGTGAATTTGACCAGCTTGATTGGAGCTATAAGATCCTCTAATTTGGAACTATAAGATCCTCTAATCCCTTAAGAGTGCAATCTCTCAACAATCAAAACACCGAAGAACTTTAGCGCTCATTTTCACCTCTAAATTAGCAAGTATGAGACTTCTACTATTACTACCTATGGTAAAAAACAAAATGAATTTGACAAGCGTGATTGGAACTATATGATCCTCTAGTCCCTTGGAGTGCAGTCTCTCAACAATTAAAGGCACAAGAACTTTAGTTTCATTTTCACCTCTAAAATAGCTAGTATGAGATTCTATTGCTGCTGAAATATTCAAATGCACCAAAGGCCGTGTTATCAAAAGTGCTTTATGCGGCAACCTCAATGTGGATGCACTCTAAGGCACGAGCAGCACCCCACATTTGCAGGATTTGGTGACAGGCTCGTAAAAGCAGGGTATCACCCTCACATAAAGATGCATTACATCAAGCACAATGCGCCCGCATATGTGGTCCAATGCACATGGGAGGAAACATACCCTAGCAGGGCAATATAACAAACCACAAACACCCCCCCTCCCCCCCCCAACCAAAAAAAGCCTTTTAGAACCATTTTTGCATGGTCCTAAGGGGATTTAAACCGAGAGAATGAAATCCAAAACAACTCCAAAGTTTTTGAAAATTCTTGGGGATTCTTCATGTGATCATTTAAGGTTGTCTTGGGTGTTTTTGAGGTTTTTGGCTGAAGGTCTCAAGGACAAGGAGATCAAACCTAGAATGGAAATTTCTTTTGAATTTGGTTTGGCATTGGAAGCTCGGAACCTAGGATCATTTTCTGGTGAGTCTCATTTACAGTTTTTGGGAACAATGTCTTCATCTTCGTTGAGCGACAAAGATCCAGTATGGAAGTATTCTAAACTCAATAGCCCTAAGGATCAAGGTAGCGTTTTTTGCACCCTATAAGGGAAAGCTTATAGGGGGTTGTTTTCTGGCAAAATGAACATATTGTCGGTATTATCGGGAATGTAAGGGCATCACCCTCAAACAACCAATGATATTAGAAGAGAGATTAGTGTATGTCTAAATAGACAAAAAAAATTGAGAGAGAGAGAGAAATAGAGCAATAAAATAAAGATATTTGTTAATCAAATTCATCTAGTTGATGGTGAAGAAGATGTATCTGAAGTAGGATGCATGGAGTCACAGAGGGTTATAAATATTGGATGTAACATTAGGCAATAAAGACCTCTCCCCAAGGGGCCAATAGATGCAGTTTACACCCTAACGCCAAGGTTGTTGTAGAGGATAAGTGATTTACATTGCTAAGTGGTTTACCAAGCCAATGTTCATTTCGATTCTACAGGCCTCGATTACTTCAAGGTTATGATCTAGGTATTTAGGCCATTTGGCCCCGGGCACAAACCCCTTCCTTTCATGAGCTTAAGGAGCTCTTTCTGAAGGATGCATGAAATATGTGAAAAAAATAAAAATTTGAGTTCTCAAGGCAAAGGGAAGGAAGAGTATGGGGTGACCATTATGTGTGAGGAATGGTGAATGGCCTAATGTCAGGTCTAGGAAATGTATTAATTTTCTGGCCAATTGTCCCTTAAATGAAATCTATTGCTGCATCAAAAAAGGCATATGATGCAACTTACTTGTGTGGGTTGATAGATGAGACTATAGATTTTGTTGGAGAAAAGCATATGATACAAAGTGTCACTGACAATGGTGCCCCATGACATAGCAAAGACATCTGGGGTTAAAGAGGCAATCACAAAAGCTAAGTCTATCATCGGTTTCATCGGTAGTTATACCCAAGTCCAAAGCATGATGTGGGAATTTACAAAGAAAAGAGAGAGAGTCAAAGTAGGAGTCATTAGATTTGCTACAACATATCTCACTCTTGAAAGCCTATGCAAGTACAAAGATGCCCCTTAAGGAGAATTTTCAGTTCAAGGAAGTGGACTAGATGTAAGTGGTCAAGGCATCAAGATGGAAGAGCATTGGAGCACATTGTGCTAAATACATCATTTTGGGCCCAAGTCTACATTGCATTGGATGTCTCACATACTTCAATGATTGTGGTATGATTGGTTGATGGTGAAGTAAATCCCGCCATGTGTGGCATACATGCGGCAAAAATTAGGATGAAAGAAGAGACCAAAATGGTTTTAAAGAATGATAACACCAAATAAATTTGTGGATAGGAGATGGGATGCCCAGCTTCATTGGCCCCTCCATACAACTGGTTACTTTTTTAATCCATCTTCACCATGAGCATTTGGCCATTAAATCAAATTGTACAATAAATGGAGGGTTCTTAGATGTACTTGAGAAGTGGATCCTTATCTGACTATACAAGATCGGAACCAAAGTAATGAGTTGATCAAGTTCAAGTATGCATTAGGGAGCTTTGAATGAGATATCACAATTTAGAACATGGATACTACACAACTAGGTAAAAAAATGCATATTTTGAACTTTGAAGTTTGAGATACAGTCAAATTTTGTTGACTCATTTGATTCTTCTTCACTTTGTTTTATTTGCATAGTTGTATAAAATATATAAAATAGTATATACTGCTAAGTGGCAGGCATCATATAGGAGCAAGACACCAAATCTTCAATGCCTTTCTAGGGGTGTTGAAACTCACATGCAATGCATCCAGTTGCCACCACAACTAGAGCGCATTTGAGCGAGCCATTATTTGCTTGGTTTTCAATTTTCTAAAACATAGATCGTAATGCTGATAAGTGACGGGCATCATATAGGAGCGAGACACCAAAGCTTCAATGTCTTTCTAGGGGTGTTAAGACTCTCATGCAATGCATCCACTTGCAAGCATAACTAGAGCACATTTGAGCGAGTCTTTATTTGCTTGGTTTTCAATTTTCTACAACATAGATTGTAGAAAAATAAAAATTTAATCAGCATTGGTTAAGATAAGTAACATCAATTCCAAAGATCTAGGAGGAGACTGAGGAGGAAGAAGGACATGTAAAAGGGGGCAATGACAGTTATGATGATGGCTCTATAGCCACAGGTTTGGATGTGAAAGATGAATGTGATGGATCATTATATGACTTTATCTGATTAAGAGTTGAGAGACGCGACATTGAATGTATCTTTTCTATTATATGCCAAGCACTTGTTTTTGGGGTTTGGAGGTTATACAGTATGTACTTGTGATTGTGTAAGTACTTTTGGTCTTTGGATGTTTTGTCATGACTTATTCGGCATTTTGAGTTTTATTTATTTAATTTAATGAATGAGATGGAATGGACTACTTCATTTTACATGCTACTCGTATTAGATTGCTATCAGGGTATCAGGCAACTCAGACAGCAACTATATCATTGAAGATACTAAATCAAAATTCCTACTATCATATGAATCACAAATTTATTTTTTATTGTATTCTCGTATTTTACATTTTAATACTTTTAAAATTTATTGATGACATCAAAGGTGACACACCTGCATCTGGACCGCATTGAGCCGCGCAATGCATCAGTCCCCTGGCCACATCGAGTCTGTGTCCTGCATTTGATAATATTGTTCAAAGGTTTCTCCTATTCATTTCTAGCTCTCTGATGCCTAGTTCCATATTAAGATGAAGCCATCTCCATTGCTTCTGAAGACAGGTCATGACAACAAGAATAGCCTCCACAAGTATCAATCCACCCATGTCAAACTCCAATAGAATATGCAACTTCTTCCCAATGCTTGGGCATATGAGAAGGTGGGGTTGGGGTTTGTAGCATTAAAATCTTCAACTACGAAACTGTAACATTCCTATTAGACAACTACTTCTTATGATAAGAGGAGATTATATAAACACCTCATTTTCTTTAACTCAGAAAATCTCATTTTTTTTATTTTACATAAGAGAAGATAGAACATATTGAGGAGAAGTAAGATAAAGTGCATACAACAGGTTCACCCTTTGATCAGTAAGTTTCACCCTTTACACTTACCAGTCATAATACCTTCTTGAAAGCAGAACACAGCTATTAAAGACAGGAGAAATGGTTTATGTGTATAATAAGGTGCCTAGAGTTCTGACATTTTCACAAGATTTCCAAGCTATCAAAAACCAAGTCACATAAAGGACTTCCCTTTAGATTTTCGATTTTTCTTTTATGGGGTAAATGACTACCTTTTAGATACTAGAAAACTGGAAAAAAATGCATATAATTATAGGTTCGAGCAGGAGTGACCATATGCCAAAAACCAAATAATATTCAGCAAATCACATAGCAAACCTCATTCTAGAAGTCCAATCAACTATTTATTTAGCAGCCAATCAAGTATTCTACGATGTGAAGTTATGTTATTTATTCATTCTGTGAGAAATTTGGTGATCAAGAGTAAAAGATGCAGAACATGTTGTAATTCAAGTAAACAATGATAGACAGAGAGGCCAAAGGAACAAACAAAGAAGGGAACCCCAAAATCATTCACATAAACAGCAATTAGTACCAGAATCTAAAAACAAAAACATAGCTTCAAAAGAGTGTGTGTGTGTGTATATATATATATATATATATATATATAAGAATAAGAAGTGGTGTGTGT